ATTTCTTATAATGTTCAGTGAGAAGCGCACGCCAAAAGATTACATTTTTAAACTTTTCGCTAGGGTTCACCCAAAGTGAATCGTCGATCTGAGGACCGAGGTGAAAAAAAAGCATGACGAAAAGTGAACGCCAGCTGTTTGCCTCTCGCTTTCTCTCATGATTGCCGGACAGTTTTCGACAGTTAAGCCTAGTACTCAGATCGACAAACGAGTACGCTAGCGTAAAAACTTTAATCTTCCCAGTGTGACCAAAATTTCGAGAGTTCATTGCAATTAAGCGTGCTACGGTCGTACTGTCAGTCAGCTGAGTTTGTTGACAAGCAGTTAAAATTTAAATATCGTATTTGCGGGAAAGAGCCTTTAAAAGATATTATCAACTACCTTGGTTCATAGCTGCACTTTTATTGTGTTTTTCGAACATTTTTGACCTAATAAACATTTTGCTCTGACAAGAGGCACCCCAGATAGTATTAATATTATTTTGTCCTTACATATAAACTCCTGCAATCGACTATTGCGGGTTTTTCGATTTTTTCCCTCCATTTTTCAAATTGTTCAGTGAGAAGCGCATGCCAAATGATTCAATTTTTTTATCTTTTCGCTAGGGTTCACCCAAAGTTCATTCCCGCAGACTGGCAACGCTATGGAAGTTTCTGGTATTTTTTTCGTCGATCTGAGGACCGAGGTGAAAAAACAACGACGAAGAATGAACGTCAGCTGTTTGCCTCTCGCTCTCTCTCATGACTGGCGTACAGTTTTCGTCGATCTGAGTACTAGGCTTTCGAATGGCGTCCATTATTTTTGATTGCTCCCCTTGGCGGTACTACTAGAGCTACCTCCACCTAGCAGTAAAATTACATGCGCGTGGCTCCACCCGGACGGAGCCAACGAAATGGCAATCTACCTCTGGGTGAAGCGACCAAGTTTTCAAATGAGCGCTAGGTGGAGCCAACTATCCTTTGATATTAACATACTTTAGTTGTAGTAGCTTCGGTTGTCGTGATACCACAACTAAAAAAAAACGAAATTTGATAACTCGGATAACGACACAACGGGTTTTGGAAACCAGTGGACGGACTCTGCTGGGATCGGCCCTGCGGATCTAAAATGGACGACGTTTTTGAATGGATAATGGTGGGTCTGTCAGAACACGAGTTTCACATCTGTCAAAAATCACAGCCCTTTCGCTTGGATTTGGTCTGTGAGATTGGGCCTCTGAGGTTTATAAAAACTGTTTATAAAATGCTGAAAGTTAATGTAGTTAAGTTAAGTTAATGTAAAATACTCTTTCCACTGTCTTAAGTTTACTATCCAGTTAGCTATCGATTGCTTAACTCGTGGACAGGATACATCGGGATAACTCCATAACTCGAGCTACACAGAAATTTTCTTTGTTTTGATTTTGCTGCAGACGGTAACAAATTGGTTTTATCCGTCAGATATACGCTTATTTCGTACAAGAATAAATTTATTTAAATCGACTCTGCTGCTTAACCAGCATGGATATTCCAAACATTTAAACGCAGTATTTTAGAAACACTTAATTTATTAAATTAACGAAAAACCTATTCTTAAATATTTAAGCAATCCAATTATTCCAATATAAAAAACAAAAAATTTTTACCCCAAAGCTTATTTCGTACAGGGGACTAAAAATGTAATAACAATTTAATTTCTTAAATGAAATATTGTTTTGCCTCCCTTCTGCTTATTGACGGCTTTTAATCTGGTTTCCATGGATTCGACTAACTTTTTGGCTGTTTCCACGGAAATTTTTGTTCCATTCCCCCTTAAGGCACTTTTTAAGTAATTTTTATTTGAAATCTTTCTCTTCCGAATCGGCTGGTCCAAAATTTCCCGCAGATTTTCGATAAGATTAAGATCCAGTGATTGTGCTGGCGTCTTTATTACGTGGGGGCAGTTCCATATTAGCCAAGTCTTCACAATTCCAGCTAAGTGCTTGCGGTCGTTATCTTGGTAATACCAAAATCGATCTCGTATGCCCAGTTTTTCAGCAGCTTTCTGCCGGTTTTCCTTTAAAATATTTAGGTACATCTTGGCCATCCATGACTCCGTCAATAAAAACGAGGTCCCGCCAGAAGCTGTCATACAGGCCCAAACCATAACATGACCTCCGCCTTGCTTGACTGTAGCTTATATGAAGGTGTTTGTTTTCTAGCTTTGTATTAGGGACAAAGGAACATATTCTTCTTCCGATTTCGTTTTGGGATGACGTGTTATTTGCAGACGAGTCAAAATGTAGCTTTTTTGGTTCAATATGTTTGGCGTCGACCTAATACATACAGAGCTAGAAAACAAACACCTATTAGCTACAGTTTTACAATGATTTTAGAAAGGAAACGCCTTTAATTTCAAAAAAAGTTATCCTAGAATTTATTGTGGGATGATATTGAAGACAAAAATATTGCGAATTTCTTGTTTTTAGCGGTAATTTTGTTATTAGGGTACACCCAAAAATACATATCCATTAATATTTAAAAATATCAGAGCACGTGTGTTTTTGGAAGTACAGTACTTTTGGGTGTACATATTTCCTTTTATGTGGAAAAGTATCAGATGTCGGGGCTTTCCGGAAGTATAGTCACAAATTGTTTTTTTTAATATATTTGTCTTTTTTTTTGTAATATCAGACTGTTTTTTATTTAAAACTGTCAATCGTGGAAGACTGAGTACTTTATGAATTGTGGCGTTGCCGTGCAGAAGATGAGCGCTGGTTCTTAAATGCTTAGATGATGTGGATATGGGTTTACAGGCGGTGCCTCACAATTGGATGCTATATGTCCAAATTGGCCTGATGATTGTCTTGTAAATTAGTAGCTGCGATGACGTCGGCAGCTTTGATTTTCTACCAGCAGGTTCGGTCTCCACGTGAGGTTGGCCAATTTTGAATTTTACCAAATCATTAGTAATCTTGTATACTGAAAGGATGTGAAATCTTCGGCTTACCAAAGAAAGCTATTTTAGTTTTTTTTGTTTAAAAGGTTATACTTTTCAAGGAAAAAAAATTAAATTTAAACAAAAATTCGCATTATCTGACAACTTTTTAATGCTTCTAGTTTTTAAGTACTAATCTATTTACAAGAAAGGAAAGCTAACTTCGGGCGGAGCCGAAGTTGATATACCCTTTCAGTATATTGTGTAAAATATATTCTCCTAAATTATTTATATGATGCACTCTTAATACTCATAAAAAATCCCAACTTCCTAAATTTAAAAACACCAATGTTATGGCATTTCCAATCGTTCAGTTATATGACAGCTATAAGATATAGTCGGCCGATCCTTATGAAATTTGGTAGGTCGGATTGATTGGCCAAAAATAAAACCTATAAAAAATCCCAACTTCTTAACTTTACAAACACCAAAGTTATGGCATTTCCGATCGTTCAGTTATATGGCAGCTATAAGATATAGTCGGCCGATCCCGACCGTTCCGACTTTTATACTGCGTGCAAAGGATCGAAGGCTGTGTGCAAAGTTTCAATTTGATATCTTTAAAACGGAGAGACTAGTTCGCGTAGAAACAGACAACTCACCTCAACTCAGGAGGTGATCCTGATCAAGAATATATATACTTTATAGGGTCCGAGATGTCTCCTTCACTGCGTTGCAAACTTTTGACCAAAATTATAATACCCTCTGCAAGGGTATAAAAATGTTGGACAGAAACATGTTGAACCAGGCAATGTTAGGATACAAAATGTTTTTCAGAAACATGTTTCATAAATATGTTTATCAACAATATGTTGTTAACATATACTTAGCCTCAAGACCGCGTAGGCGTAGGCAACATAATGTTGAGCAACACTTACCCCTTAAGGGAAGATTATTTTCGGTTTTCCCAACTCCCCGCCTCGAACTCAGTCAAACCTGTTTGACATCTAACTGCAAACCATTTCTATTCAAGCCCCGTTTTCACTCGAGTCCCCTTGCCACCCAAATGTTGATTTCTTGTTTCAAAAACAAGAAAATCAAGAACATTTTTGTTAAATGTAAAAATTCTCATAAACTAAAATAGCACTAATAACAGGTCAAAACTTTTAAAAGTTTTTTTTTGAGATTTCACCAGTACTGAGAGCGCTAAGGTCTTACTGCCAATCAGCAGGGTTGGTTGTCAAACAATTAAAATTCAAAAACTTATCTTCAGGCCTTTAAAGTATATTTCCATAATTATACAGCCCTAATAAACAAGAGTATTTTTATACCCTCGGAGAGGGTATTTTTTTTTTTTTTTTATGATTGCTTAGCCCTTTCTTACAATCCATATTTCAATCAAAACAATCCAATCATACACTCAGAGATAAAATACACTACAAATTCTAAGAAATACCTAAAACTTAAAAAAAAAGAATAACTTGTTTCATATTAGCAATGAACAGAATGGTAGCTCGGGGTAATTCTCTAATTCCAGAATGGATATCAGATTCATTTCAATGTATCAGTCAGTACCTACTCATATATATTTTTTACGTAGGAAACTACTTGAAATGTAAAAGGGTATATGGTTTTTGTTGAAAAGTACATAACAGGTTGAAGGAAAACATTCCGATATAATGTATACCGTGGCGACCTATCTCGTTTTATTTTGGAAAACGTATTTCAAAACCAATAAAAATTATAATATGAAATAACTTTAGTATTTTAAAATAATATGGTAATGGGTCAAGTGACGTCACTTTAAGTGTATATATAACGTAAGTGTGTATAATAAAAATCACAAAGATGAAATGACTTGCGTTTGAGTCCGAGTATAAATAATAACAAAGCTTAGCGCAATCAGATCCGGATTTCTGTGCTCTGAGCATTGTTTACAAGAAACTATGGTTATAATAATATAAATTATATTAATTACAATATATGGGTGCCAGGACACGCGTTACACGATAAATAAATATTAAAAATATACACTCGACAGTTGAACTTTCTGCTTAGGTTGGGTTTTTCTCTTGGTTACTCCTCATCTTCCAGCTGAGAAATGCACAAAAATGTGCTTTCTCTTCAATTGGTGGGCGTTGTGACCGCCTTGGATCGCCTTATGTGCTCCGATTTGTGGTAGAGGAATTTATAGCTTGATTTCTTGCCATCCGTGTGCTCCACAAAGGAATCTAAGGAGACATAGCCCAGGTTGTCTGTATCAAGAGCGCCTGGGCCTTTTGTTCATTAAGCTTGCCACCAGCGTGTCTCATTAACCGTACAAAGCTCTCCCTGTCGATTTGCTGACTAGATTCGCTATAAAGGTGGATCAAGGCACGCAGGAAGGTCAACAGATCTGAGTTTTTTAATTTGCAGAAGAGGGAGCACAGCAGGAAGCTCTTCAAATTCACTGTGCCCATGCGGCGGTGATCGAGCAAAACAAACAGCTTGTGCAGATCGGTGTTCTTGAGGTCCACCTTGAGCAGCTCGGCAAACGTAATAATGTCCATCGTGTCCGTGTTGGACACCCGGAGGAATCCCTTGCACAGCTCCGCATCCCGCTGGCTCTCAATCAGACCCAGCTTCTCGATGGTCCGCTCGATCTCCACGATATCGCCGGGGAAGGGAATCTTCATGTCGCGGGCCCGGCTCATCACGATTACGTCCTCGAAGGAATAGTCTGAGCTGGGTACTCCTAGGGACTTGGCCATCACCTCCCGCACATTGTTGGCATACAGATTGGCATCGGCCACTTCGTCCACCGAAGGCGTGTACACGGGCAGATACTCGATCTCGCACCGGTTATAAAACTGCGTCATCGTCAGCCAGAGAAGGCGTAACACTCCGGGTCCATCCCAGGTCCATGTGAAGGTGTCATACTTATTTGGGTATTTTAAGAGCACCGGTTGCACGGGCACACCCGGATACAAAGCGCCAGGCTTGAACTTGATCAGGGCCGTGCGATTGGTGCAGGTGCCCTCGGCAAAGATGACCACCTGCGGCCAGTCGTCCGTGGAGCGAGCTCTGTCCACAATATCCTTGATCGTGTTCTGCCGCGAATTGGGATCCTCGCGCTGCACATAAATGGGCTGGGCATAGTTGATGATGCGACCGAGCAGCGGGATGTCCGCCGTCTCCCGCTTGGCCACTATCGAGGGCGGGCCACTGGCCACGACCAGGATGGAGTCCACGTAGGAGGAGTGCGGCGCCACCGCCAGGATCGGTGCCTCCTTCGGCGTCGCCGCTCGTCCCTTCATGGTCACGTAGTGGAACGATCCGAAGGTGTACACCATTCGCATGCCACGGGCCGTCATGCATTGCATTTGTTTTCGCCAGCCGGTAAGGGGCTTCTCCTTGAGATCATCCAGCGTCATTCCATAGAGACCAATGCAGGCGAACATCCACGCGGAGATCAGAGAGAGAACGCAGCCCACCACGCGGATGGGCAGCAGGAGAACTGTCAGCACATAGATCTTGGCCACCTCAATGTGACTGTCGATTTCGATGCGATGGACGAACGGATTTATGTAGTTATAACCCTTGGAGGCCCACGTATCCTCCTCGGAATCGCGTTTAGACAGGCTGGCGGCCACTCCCACAACACCGACACCGCCCACCACCCCCGCCGGCGGCACTTCTTCGCCGCCCGTTGGCTTAATTGTCGACGTTGTCATTGCCTCGTTTTTTTTTTTTTTTTTTTTCAAAAAAAATCAAAACATTTCTGACCTTATAAAGTATATATATTCATGAACAGCATCACCAGGTGTGTCGATCTAGCCATGACCTTCTGTCCGTCCGTCCGTTTCTACGCCAAATAGTCCTTTAGTTTTAAAGCTATCTGCTTGAAACTTTCCTAAAAGTTGTCTTTTTATTGCAAGTAGTATATAAGTCGGAACGAGCCGGTTTGGGAGAAAATGTCATATAGCTTCCGAGTTGTCTCCTTCACTGCGTTGCAAACTTTTGACCAAAATTATAATACCCTCTGCAAGGGTATAAAAATGTTGGACAGAAACATGTTGAACCAGGCAATGTTAGGATACAAAATGTTTTTCAGAAACATGTTTCATAAATATGTTTATCAACAATATGTTGCTAACATATACTTAGCCTCAAGACCGCGTAGGCGTAGGCAACATAATGCTGAGCAACACTTACCCCTTCAGGGAAGAATATTTTAGATTTTCTCAACTCCCCGCCTCGAACTCAGTCAAACCTGTTTGACATCTAACTGCAACCACCCATTTCTGTTCAAGCCCCGTTTTCACTCGAGTCCCCTCGCCACACAAATGTTGCAGCAGCATGTTGCTGAGGGTTACATGATGAAGGCGGCCGTCGAACGAAGTGAACGCGTACGAACAGTTTTCAGGCGATTTTCAGAGCGTGCGGGTTGAATTAACGGTAAAAAAAGTTGACCCGCGCTTTTCATATAGCACCAAAACCAGTGCCCGTGTGCTTCTTTGGTGCGCGACTGTGTGAGAGTGTAGGAATTCAAAAAAAACAACAAGGATAAACTAAAATTACCTAATCAAAATGCTAAAGTGTTTATCCTTAACGCGCAGTGAACGGTAGTGTTATTTAAACAGTATTTTTTAATGTTAGTTAAATACAAATAAATAGTAAGGGAAAGAAATCTTAGGGAAAAGATAATTAAAATCAAATACATTATAGGAATAAATTAAGAATGTATTTAAACTGGTCATGTTATTTCAATCAATGTTTAAACTTTTAATTTTAAGTTAATGTTTTTCGTTTTTTAATATGATACTTGATTTCTTTTCAATTGAACTAAAGAAATAAATAAAATGATGTGGTAATTATATTTCGTATTAGTCGGTTTTTTACATATATTTGTTTGTCTTCGTTCAAAAAAGTTTAAAAGATTATGTTCCTTTCCTATAAATAATAATAAATCATACAAATCAAATAAAAACTGATTGCTTTAGCTGAAATAAATAAAAAAACGATCGGAAGACATATTAATTGGTGGCTTTATAGAAAGTGCTATTAAAAACTACATAAATCTTATCGACTTTCCTTTTGATATCTGAAACCCAGACAGAGACATAAAATAAGTTAATATAATAAATACAACACCAAAAAAGTGGGGCCATAAGCCCACTATTACGGTAAAGAGTAACTTTTGCCGCGTCTCGCGTTTCTTATTGGAAAATCTCAGCTTCCGACCAAAAAAAATTCTGAAATCCCGTCTTTGAGGATTTTGTGTTCTCTTGCTGCTACAAACAAAGTAAAAGTTACAGCGAAAGGTTTTGTGCAACGTGTGGCAAGTGCGGCAAGCAAGCGAGTGCAACGCAAGTTTAATTCGATTTTAGTGTGTAACAATCAGAAAAAAAAACAGCAGCTGAAGAGAAAAAAGTCTTACTTGTTTGCGTGCAGGTGCTTTTTGTGGGTGCGATATATGTGGAAACAGCAGGAAAATTGTTAAAGTGGATTAGCAGACATTTTCAACACTGTCCTTGGATTTTTTTGGATGTGCGTGTTAAATTCTTCACCTTCTGCTTGCTGTAAGTACCATAATTTTACACGTGAAACTATAAAAGCTCCTGAGTATAAATATGTATTTTGAAAAGATTTCCAGTATCTTGTCACAAAAATTCCAGTGATTTTAGAAATGAGGCTCTCAAATTGAAATAATTGCTTTGTTTTAATTTTTGAGAAATTCTTTAACTACATGGTCAAATGCAACTAATTGACTTTTCAATATCTAATTCAAAACAAATTTAGGAAAAAGGAAGAATCTGACTGACAAGATTTAGTCAAAAATCAGAACTTCTACCTGACTTTAAAATGTCTCGGGATATGACACACAAAAACAAAACACAAAACAGTTTTAGAAGCCGCAATAAAAGTATATCAAAAATTAATTTTTAATAACGTACTTCTGACCTGACCAAAGTGTCTCTCTTAGCACTTTTACGATAAATCCATTTGGATCAAATTAAACACAAGTTTTTTACTACATAAAAATGGAATTACAACCGGGAAACGCATAAATTTCCTTGTAAAGAACTTCTACGGACCGAAATTTATTCTAAAGAGAAAGCAATCAGCTTGGCCCCAATAAAGTTGTCATAAAGACATACATATGCTCAGGTCGGTCCCAATCTAAATCGTCATAAAGTGCACACATACAAAGGAGCTTAATAAGCCTGCTAATCTGAAGACCACACATACGCAACAGACAGCATACGTGTGCACAAATGCCGAGAGTTCTTCCATAAGCTCCAAATATCTAAAAACGTACCAGACACACTCTCACAATAGGAATTATGCCGGAGATGTCGACGTACTTTTTAAGTAAATTATAAAGCATTCAAAAACGGTTTCTGTTGAATGAGTGTTTAAAAAAAAAAGTATGAAATAAAATAGCAAAAGCATGCAAAAAGTCAACGACAGTTGAAAGAGCCGACCAGACAGACTGGAGAGGTGGTGCGGTGTGATATGGGGGGAAACCCGAAGTATGAAAGAAAATTCAGACAATGTGGAGAATGTCGGGAGTGTGTCTGCCTTCTTCATGTCCCGGCTGCACACAAAGATGATCCTTTTGCCACTTTGGCAACTGTCATTTCATTGTCCAAGCCTTCTCCTCTAACTTTTTTTCGTAAATTCATCATGGGCTGGCCAGAGAAATAATAAATAAGTTCAAAGAGTGGGTATAATTTAAAGTAATTTGAAAAGTGTATGTTTAATTCAAAGATAAGGAAATAGAAAACAAGTTACAAAATGCACGCTAACTTGCAAAGGTCAATTTACAAATAAAGAACAATTTGCTTAAAGAATTCTCGTTTATGTAATACGACTGGCATATAAATTGGGCAAGTGAGGCAAGAGAAAGCTCGGAAGAATTATACATCATTCAAATATTATGAATGAAATATTAACTTGCTATATAAATTTCATTTCACAACCATCGAAAATAACTTTTTGTGGGATTTTATACACAATCAAAACCGTTTTTTGCGCTTGGCTCAACGCACCCCATAAACCCCTAAGCCACTACGCCCCAGCTTCAGTCCAATTATCGTCTAATAAAGTATTTCCGCCATCTCCCCAATTTGGCCGTATTCTGCTACTTTATATATAGAGCTCTAAATGCGCTTGTACACAGATTTCTGTGCTGCTTAAGATGAATATTATTAAGTAAATTTAAGCGTGAATTCAGAGAATAAAGGGCTGTTTTAATGCAACTGCTTAATGGCAATACCGACTTGAAACCCCCGGCAAGTCACTAAATTATAAACCTGCATCCAAACTCCCTTTTCCTCGCCCAATTCCCGCGAAGTTAAGCACTTGAAATCTGCCACGAAATCAGAAAGTAGACTTGTAGAGCGCCACTTCTCGAACCATCTCGAGTGCCTCACGGCACCGGCAAAAAAGTCTACGATGAAGTTTTGCGCAACTTGTTTGGGTATCCAAGTTGCATGGGGCTAGCTGGGAGATGTCTCGGCACCTGGCCACGGTTACCTTTAATGCCTGACACATATAGGGAAAATTAAAAAAAAGGGGAAACATCTTCACCGAAATAAAACTCTACTCTGCTCCTTGCTGGCCCCATTTCACTCTCCTTCGCTTCCGACTCTGGGATCTAGAAATAAATCTTTGAATGGCTTTAACATGTTTTCAAGTTTTGTGTGCGCAGCTCGTGTTCGTCTGCTGCCCTGATTTATACATGGTAAATAATTTATTGGCTCGGGAAATTCTTAACTTTTCCTCAAAATGGCTTTGCTGTGTCTGCGGTTAGACCAATTTTAAGTGCTCATAGATTTCTCAATGGTTTTCGATTCTCTTCGCTGACGTTGTGAAATGTGTTGCTAATTCAAAAATTTCCGTTTGTTGGTGGCATCGATTTTTAATACTATCCATTTACTTTTTTTAAAGGGTTTGATTAATTCTGAGGGCACGAGAAACTGGAATTCCGACGGATAATTTGAGGGAAACTTGTGACTAGCATATGAACATAAAGTTTATAATTGTAGCACAAGGGATGGTAGTCACCTTTTCTACTACATGTTTCAATGAACTAGGCTAACTAACTAACTGACTTTGAATGTCTTTGATTTTTGTATAGATTTTCCACCTTTCATTAGTAAGAAAAAAAGCTAGATCGTGTAAAATTCACAAAGGAGCCAGAAATTCGTCTGATTTCCTTCTGGAAATTTGTAATTTTTTCGGACGAGTCCAACTTTAATTTATTTGGCCCTGATGAAGGAGCGACCCAATACAGATCTGGAAACTAAGAACTTAAAAGCTACGGGCAGGCACGGCGGTGACCATGTAATGGTTTGGGCGTGTATGGCCTCCGGTGTCGGAAATTTAGTTTTCATTGATGGCATCTCGGGTGCTGAGATGTATTTAACCATTCTAAAAGACAATTTTCTGCAAAGTCCAGATATATTGGGATTACTAGATCGATTTAGATTCTATCAAGATAACGACCTAATGCACACCGCTGCAAATGTAAAGCTTTGGTTGGTCTGGAACTGCCCTGGAACCTGCACCTTTCCCACCGCACGACACATGCACACTTGAGGCGACTCGGCGAAATGCTTGCACCAGGCATAATATGACATATATTTTAATGAATTTAATTTGAGAAGACTGTTGAAATATATAACAATAAAACCTGAAAGTTTCGTATCAATCGCATATTTCTTTCCTTCCCAAAAAAAATTTTGTTGAACCTTCTAAAGCAGGCTCCCCTCTTAAGAAGCATATATTTAGTTTATTTCCCGCAGTAGGTCTCGCACACAATAAACAAAGTCAGTTAACCAAATTTTAGACAACAGTCCGATTTCCTCTGTGGATGTCAACTAACTGAATGAATTTCATTGACATCGAATGACTCGTGAGTTTTGAACCAAACGATGTTGCTGTTCATGGAAACAAAGATGATGGGCTGACGGTGAAACACAGGCAGGCAAAGTTTCGATTACTCCCCAGTACCTCTCATCCCCCATCTTCCTGCCCAATCTTACTGCCACTTCGACGGAACTGTCGGCAATATTTGAAACTTATTGCTCGCTCGCCTGTCAGTGCAACATCGTCAAGTCGAAAAGCAGAAAGCGATGCGAAAAAACTGAAATTGGGGGCAGGATAGGGAAGTCGGTGGAGGGGAGGTGCATAAGGAAAGATAGGGCCACACGGAAAAGTTGACTTACATTTTCCAGTTTTTTCTATTCTAAAGGTATTTCTTCTTTTTTCGTTTATCAATTATTAATTCGCTCGCCAGCTGATTTATTCGGCGCTCATTTCTTGAATAGTTTGGTTTTTGGATGTTGTATGTTAGTAAGCTTACACTCAATTTAAGTACTTTTAAGCTTTCCTTTTAATGTATTGCGATTTTATTTTGTATCGTTTTCAATTGAAATATCCCATTTTTATATGATTACGGTTGTTTTTATGTAAAAAATACAATTAAAATAGGTTTTTTGTAAATGTAATTTTTAAATAATTAAAGTAATTTCTAAGAGATGGTTTTGTTTTGAGAAATTTTTACTGGTATGAATATTTTTAATAATTTCATTAGTACATTTATTAGTAATATTTGGATTAAAACAGTATGTAAACAAATATTGCTTTTGTTATATACTGTATTGTATAATCTGTTCAAATAAATTTCTTTTAAAAAACGTACTCTTGAGAATAGAATCAGATTTCATACATTAGTTCAAGGCAAATAATGACCAACTAATTCTACAATATGTATTCTTAGCAAATACATATTCTTTTTGTTTTTATTACATACGTGTTTGATTACAAGCTTTGACGATCTTACCGAATCCATTCCCCTTTTTTATCAGTGCATTAACTGTGCGGGGCTCCAGTCAAGCATTGCACTTTCGATTGACTGCACTTACCATACAGTTGACGTCGCACCTTCTGCTTTGGGCCATTACTAATGATAGACAAACAACAAACCATTTCTGTTGCCCAGCTATGAAAGCAAAATAGTTAAACGGAGGGGGCCGATTGGATTGTAGAAGGGAAATTTAGTTTGTTGTGTTATTTTTTTTTTAACTTTTGGCAGATTTGAAAACAAATGCACGCACCCGAAATTTTAATTTCCGAAAAAATCGAATTTAAATAATTTATTTGGGAATATATATTAAAATGATAAATTTTTAAATTTAAGAAATTTAGAATTAAGTCGACTATGTCTCGGACTTGTTTTTTTCCAGAGCATTAACCAAACATTAACTTTTTAATTCAACCCAAATTAGTATTCGCTCCGTGTTGATGTTGTAACAAGCAGACGAATCGATGGCCGGTTGATGGCCTGTTGACTGATAGTGATATATGGCTATTGAAATGTCAAAATTAATAAGCCTCGATGATGGTTTAATGAGCTGCCGTTGTCATCGCTCGGCATGAATTTCGATGGCTTTGCGTCATCAAATGAAATCGCTCTGTGGAAACTAGTTTCGACTGCCTGGGTGGCCTCAATGGGCTACAAGTACACAGAGAAAAAAAACAAAACAAGTTTTATATTGTCTCATAAATTTTCTCATTTATATTTTTTTATGTCAAAATCATACAAAAAGGATATTTTCAATATTAATAAAATACGAAAACATATGTTTTTTAAATAAAGGTGCTTAAGAAGCAGAAAAATATATTTTATTTGAATGTTTCTTTAAGATTTGTTTTCTTTATCTATTAATACTTTGACCAATCAAAATAATACAAGATTATTAAATAATTCTATTTAAATAAAAAGATTAAGAAAATATGCTCCAAATAAATGTTCTAAAAAATAAAACATTTAAATGTTACAATAAAACGAAAAAAATTTGTCTGTGGGACTAACCGGATTGTTAGCTGATTAAAAATTAAAACGTAGTATGAGAAATATAATTCCCTATAATGAAAAAACATTGGCTTTATTTGTGAAAATACGATATTCAGTATATCAATATTATATATGAGAAATTATCTGTTAGTCAGGCTTGAAAATATTAAATTAGTATGACTCATGTCTTGTTATAACCGATTATTGAACATTTAGGTTTTTTTTTCTGTGTGATGGATTTGATGAGCTGTGAAAGATTGCGACTTGACATCTCAGTGATAAGATGTTGGGAATTGCAAGAAGGTAAGCGTGTAACAGAATAATATTCTGAATAATTGTGTCACATTTTCGTAAATCGTGAAAATAAATTGAATCAAAGCATCTGGTGTTAAAATATATAAAACATGAAAATGCATATTGTATTTGGCAAATAAACACAAAATTTGCTTTCAAGATAAAAAAAATAAGGTACTTTCCCTCAATTTAATTTCTTAAATACAATAAATTAATTAGTTTATCGTTCTTAATTGTTTTTTGGTGTTTTTCCGAGTTTAAAACACAAATAAAAGTATTTTTGTGGGGTTTTCGACGCTAAATTTATTTTGTAATTGAATGCGATTAATTTTAAATTTGGTCTATTTGAAACTATTTTGGTAATCTATGTCTACTTCTCGGCTGGTGTCAGATAGCTGTCTTCAAGTTTCTTCCTTTGCTGCCTCTCCCGCAGTTTTCTAAAGTTTTCCGCTTCACGAAGATCCTCCAGATCTCTGTTGCTCATGGGCATATTCGTGGGGTAGTGGACGCTAGATACTGATACTGATTTGGTTTGCCGCTGGTCACAGATATCAACTTCCTGTTCGCGCACTTCCCCAAAAAATCGACTCAAAAGGCCTCGCTTTTTTGGTTTTGAAATTACCGAGGAGTTTTGGGGCGCCTCATCGCGGTTATTAGATTTAGGTTGCGTGAGCTTGGACTTCCTCCGTGAGCGAGAGCGCATGAATTGAGCAAGTCTTTGAAATAAACTGCTAGCTCCACTTCCCAGATTTGCATCAAGCTTATCTTCCTTGCTTTTTCTTTCCTGGATCTCATTTTCCTTCTGCAGCTTTCTGCCCACTTCCTCAATACCTCGGCATCGAGCTCTTGCTGCAATGCGCCTATACTTCAACTTATCCTCTTCGAAGTCACGAATTCGCGATCCGCTTTCAGCTTGGAATCTGCTAAGACTGTCGATGCGCTTCTGGCTGCCAGTGTAGCCGGTCGAAGATTCGGGGCGGGAGCTAAGACGCCCACCGGCCCTGGGTCGTCCTGATATAAATCCGGGTTGGGCCTGGTCATTGTGGGCGGAACTTCGTATTCTGTTTGCGGCCTTGCCTCTATGTTTTGGTGCAGGTGCGGACTAGAAGGGTATTCAAAATATTCTATCAATTATTGTCTACAAAATAATTTTGGTATGTGAACTCTATAAAGTAATATATTCTTGATCAGCATCACCAGTAGATTTATATTGTATTTACTTCTTAAAGTCAAGTCATATATTTCAAGCTAGTGATGAACTGCAAATTATTTGATTGTATTACCTATCACCTTAGTTTTAGGTATATGAAATAATAAGGTATTTAAATAGTTAAAATAAAAATTAAATTGTGGAAATGTTGTAAGTAAATTATAATAAAACCCCTTCAGTAAGTTTCGCACGAACCAATGTAAATCATTTTAATTTAGAATAGTCTTGAGTGGTTTTTTGTTGACCTTTTGTTGAATGCCTTTCAAATCAGTTAGAAACAATTACCTGGCTATAAGCTCCGTTTGCCTGTTGATAGGAGGGAGGTATGATCCCAGGAAAGTTTGGATTAGGAGGCGCAGCTGGCTGTGTATATAGCGGCTGAGGCCTGCCATACCAATATTGGTAGCTGCCGTTTTGGTCCGATTGTTGATGATTCGGATACAGAAGCCATGGCCGTGTGTCATATGCTGCTCCCATATGGGGATGTATCTGGGCGAAGTAATACTGCTGCTGTTGACGTTGCTCTTGTTGCTGCTGTTGTATTAGCTGTTGTTGGTTCATTAAAGGATACGCCTGTGGCAAGTACACCGGATGGTGTTTTTGAACCTGCTGGCGTTTCTGCAACTGTGGATATGGAGCCATAGCCGTTGGATCGTAGGACTGCTGCAGGGACACGTCATTTAGGGAGTGGTGAAGCCAAGTGGACACGGCTAGATTCAGGTCATCATTCGACTGTGAGATTTATTCCGATATGAGCCAAAGGTTGGTAAACAAAAAGAGTGAATCACCCTGCCTCGGCAGCTTTGCTAATGCAAGTGGCAGAAAAAAGGATTTTAATATGTAAATGCATTGATCCGTACAGTGTAAGCTTAAGTAAACTAAATGTAAAGTCCTGGACTTATTAGCTTTAAAAGTTTTAGTATCTACTCTAATTCAATATCATTTGATATGTTGTTATATATTATATTTGTTTGATCGGACCATCATAAAAGTCTTTCGAGTTGCGATTTGCAACCTTTTAAGATACAAAAGTCAATAGAAACTTGGACAAATGACATGCAAATATTTAAGGTATCTGGTGTAGCTTAATAATTCATTATTGGGTCGCATTTTATACGATTTCCCATTAAAGATAACTAAAAACTACTTTTCTCATTGAGTTGGTCTTGAATATTAAATTACCTTCTTAAACTTAAAAGTACTTACGGTAAAATTTCGATTGCGAAAGAGATCGTCCTGCTCAGAGCTGAACTTAAAAAGTGCCAGGAGCGAATTTTCCGCATTCACCTTTTTTTTGTTAGTGCATGATAACTGGCAGCGTTCTTCTCGGTTCATATCCAAAGGGCCATCTAGTTTCGATCAGATCTCCAGCGGCCTGCACGGCTCTGCCTTCCCGACTTTCCTGACCAGACATATGCATGCAGTTAGATTTTGAGCAGAATTTCCGAAACTGTTACCAAGCCGAATTTTAATTTGAAACCTAGCCTGGCAGATGTAATATGTTTGATTTGGCTTTTTGCCCGCCTCCTCCGATTGTTGTAATTGAAGTTGTATCTCATACATTTCAGATGAACGTTTCAAAGGATCAAACCAGAAAGACATTTACACAGTTTACAATTCAAAAATCAACAAATGAAATGAAACCTCTTAGCAGATCACCCTTTAACAGCGCTTTTCGATCTATTTCCCTCACAAGGACAATGTGAGCATAAAAATTAATTTCACTTTACATTTTTATACCCGTTACTCGTAGAGTAAAAGGGTATATTGTATTCGTGCAAAAGTATGTAACAGCTAGAAGGAAGCGTTTCCGACCCTATAAAGTATATATATTCTTGATCAGGATCACTAGCCGAGTCGATCTAGCCATGTCCGTCTGTCCGTCTGTCCGTCTCTCCGTCTGTCCGTCTGTCTGTCTGTCTGTCCGTCTGAACGCTGAGATCTCGGAAACTATAAAAGCTAGAAGATTGGCATTTTGCATGTAGAGTTTAGGAGTTCCTACGCAGCGCAAGTTTGTTTCAAAATGGTGCCACGCCCCCTTTAACGCCCACAATCGCTTAAATACGATTTTAAAAATTTAAATATTTCGGAAAAGTAAAAATGCAGTTTTATTGTGTTTATCAAAACCTATCGAAATGTAGAAGAAATTTTTCAAATCGGACCATTCGTTAAAAAGTTATGCGTGATCAAAGTTTCTATCTCCATCTCCCTCGCACTCCTTTTACCTGAGTAACGGGTATCTGATAGTCGGGGCACCCGACTATAGCGTTCTCTCTTGTTTTTTTGTCGAAAAGGGTGATTCTCCCGTTCTGTAAATACCTGCCGCATTGTATGTCAAAATCTGCCTTCCCTCCCATTGCTCGTCTTTTGCTTTGCTTTCTGTCTGGTAATTAAAAGTTCAATGCGCAACATTTTTAACAAAGAACAACAATGACAATGAGTATTGACAATGACAACGTCAAAGTATGTGAAAAAGGTAAGGGGTTAGGGGAGAAAAATCGAACTGAATGGCGGAAAAAGGGAATAGGCAATTTATTTGTTTAGAGGTTCCTTTTTTCTCGTTGGTGTCTATGAAAAACATGAAAGGAAGAACATGGTAACGTCTATCATTTCATGGAAGATTGATGTTTTACACAAAATCAAAAAAAATTACTTTGCCAACCTTTGTTTTCAATTCGCAAGATGATTTTCAAATGTGGACTTGAATAAGTGTTCAAAAGTTTTTCAGGACAAATTAATTTATCTGATTAGTTTTTGATGTTTTCATCAGCTTAAACTGAAATGGTGCGAAAATATTTAACTGCAGTAGTCCACATAAGGAAAATGAAAAGTATAGCTTTGTACTCCCTAAGAGGTGTTTTCGTTTGCTATCTGAATATTTTAAAAGCACTCTGTAACTTTTAAATGAACTAACAGATTTTTAAACACCAAAGTACTTAAAATGTAGAACATGCAAATCAAAATATAATAAAATGAGGATTTGTCTTGTATTTTATTTTAATCAAGCCGATCTAGCCGGCTGTTCTTCTGTTCTCCTCAGTTTTAAAGTTATTTGGATATAAGTCGACAGTAAGAATTTCGTTTTATAAGAATCGGACGACTATATGATTTAGCTACCATAGGAACAATCGAGAAAAAGGGAACAAATTTACAACTTATTTGTTTGGTAACATATACCCACATACTCCTGATATAGTTAATGATACCGATTTCAGAATTAAGGTTTTACTTTTATAAAAATCAGACGACTATATCATATAGCTGCGATAGAAAGGATTAAAAATGTATTGGAAAATCGACCTAGCTTCATTGTTTCTAAACGTCGAAATCCAAACAGAGAATATTTAATTTTTGTAAGAGCTGCAGGGGTATATAAACTTCGTCTTTCCGAAGGTTTCTTCCTTTCTTGTTTTAAATTATATCTTTTAAATACTATATGACTATTATCTTTTGTACAGTCATACAAATTTCAACGAAATAAATCACAAATTAAATTTTACTTACACCCACCGACAATCCATTTACGCTGCAAATCTAAAAAGTTGTCCCCGCCCGAAAAATAAAACTGAAGGCCAAGTCAAACCAAGTACCATGAACCACACTTTAAAATCACATAAATGACCGCCGTTTTTACACTCATAATAATTTATTTTTTCTAAATCTTAAATCTTAAAAAATGGAATTTTTCTTAAAAAGACGAAATTTTTTCTTAAATCAAGAAAGTGTTTCTCAAATGTAAAAATTGTCGCCATAAACTAGACTGACAGACGGACGGACACGGCCAGATCGACTCTCTTGGTGATGATGATCAAGAATATATATACTTTATAGGGTCGGAACTGTCTCCTTCACTGCTTTGCAAACTTTTGACTAAAATTATAATACCCTCTGCAAGGGTATAATAATGTCGTTTGTACATAATTTGAATGACAAATGTTCCGATGCCGTAAACGAATTTATTATCTTCGTTTGGGTGCCAAGGCAGTCAGCTGGGCTATCTTCGAAGCCTTTTCCTCTTCCTGTAAATTTGAGTCTCCTTCCATTTCCATTTCCATCTCATTCCTCTGAACTCCCGGTCATATTTTTAAAGCTCTTCCTCGACTTCCTTGACTGCCATCAGCTGGCAGTTTGTATCATTAATTGTTTGTCGTTGTTGTTTTATACAATGCTTCACAATATTTTTGCTTAATTATATAAGAGATTGTGTTTGCAATTCCCATTAAAGTCTCTCAATTTAAAGTCCCTATTACTGCAATGGCTAAACTGACTGTAAGACTGACATCAAAAATTAAAACTCTTTAATAATCAAAATAAATTTATCGCTAATCGAATACTTTACCCATTTAATTTTCTTTGCAGCATGAAATCATGATTACGAGAAAATACAGATAAAAATGTCGACAAACACTCACTGGAAGCCTCAGCAAATTTGGGCTGCTTTTTTTGTGGTAAGAAAATCAGTGTGAAATAATACGTTAACTATAAACTACCTTTTTTTGGAAAAAATAATGAATATTAAGTTTCGTTCCAATTCCTTAGTTTTCATATTTATATATTTGATTTTGATTATTAAATCAAAATATTTTAAAGTTTAGTATTTGTTTGCCATTTCAGAGTTACGGTGTTAATTTCATAAAAATTGGACTATTTATTTTTGTTAAAGCTGTAAAGCATCAGCTTGCCGCAGCTTGTTTCCTTTTGGTTGTTTTCATATATTAAGTATGAATACATATTTGTGGCAATTATAAATTGAAGTCCGGGACCTGAACAAAGTCCAGTTCATGCCTTGCAAAATGGGGAAACTTTTAATAAATACTAAAGCAGCTGTAAAATGTAATAAGGCATCAAATCACCAATCATTTTTTGGAAGTGTTGATCATAAAACCCTTTTCCGTGGCAGAGAAAGAAAAAGTCAAGAGTGTTTATTTCTTGACCTTGACGGATTGCTTGGATATACGGATACTTGGATTCTTTTGGATGCGATGGTTTCGAGGGAGCCGCAAAGCAAACCATTCGAGGCGGTGTTCAAAAGCGGAGTCATTGGCATTCTGGCCGGAAAATATAACGTTGTGGTAGTTTGTGAGCTGGGATGTCTTAATGTTGATAGAGGCGTGGTCCTAACTTGTTGTGCACATTACCATAAGTAATTTATCTGACTAGTCCGCCTCACCCACCCACAAAGAGTAGAAAATCACTTAATATGTTCGTGCTTTAACCGCCCCAAAACTCCGAGTGTTCAATCCTTGGATTCATACCACCCTTGCACCTCCAGGACCTTTGCTTGTTTGACGTTTTGTTTCGGCATTCGTGAAATTGCAAAATCAATCAATTCGATTACTTATTCGTAATATTTTTAAATATTTTATGTTAAGCTTTTGTTCACATATTTCCATTCCCCATTTTTAACCACCCCAACTCTTATGTAAATGAAAATGGGTTATGTACCTGACTGTATACCCTTCCCCCTGGAGGAGTGCGTATTTGTTGGCATGCACATTGTAGCTTGCGGCTCTGAGAGTTCAATTGGGGTTTGATATGTAAATAATGCTCTGGTAACTTTGCTTATTTGATTGCGGTCTGACACGGGGCAGGAAACTCATCTTGCCAGTAATCGGACGAAATCAATTATATTGTGACAATTATTATTATTAAATTAAAATTTTTAAATTTAAAATTAATTTTTGGTATTGCTTCGAGGAAGTAAGAACTGGTCAAGTTTCCAAATGTAAATTATTAAGGCGGTATATACCTTTTTTGTCAAAAAAAAATAGGAAAGTTTGGAATTTTTTAATTTATGTAGCAATGTTTTTTAATAATTGAATAATTATATTTTTTGAAAGTTTTGCATGTTGACAAAAATATGGCTCTTTTTTTTTACTTATGTATTCATTATCAATAAAGCTCTTAAAAAATATCGAACATCATAAACTTTTATTTTAATTTTACAAAAACTCTTCGCCTTAAAATAATATCCTTTTCGGCATCAACCATCCTAAATATAAAACAAAATCTTACTTTTTTTTCTGTGAAAGCTTGTTTAAAGTCCACTTATCTTAAACACATGTGAACCTGCTGGGCCGTAATGTTTGTTTGGCCAAAGGCTCTTCGTCCGTGAATTCGTGTAATGTCACGTGATAAGCCTCACCTTCCTCAAGTGGTGAGCAAAAAGGAAGGGGCGATGTGGGGTGGTGTACATGAAATGATGCGGAAATTGTAGCATATTTAAGTGGTCTCGCGTAAATAGCCGTTAAAAAGTTTATAATCACAACTTTGTGTGAATAGGGAGACAGCTTGGTCGAAATCCACATATGGCTCCTAATTTGTATGCCCTTGCAGAGGGTAATATAAATTCAGTCAAAAGTTTGCAATGCAGTGAAGGAGACATTTCTGACCCTATAAAGTATATATGCTGATCAAGAACAGCATCACCAGGAGAGTCGATCTAGCCATGTCAGTATGTCCGTTCGTCCGCCTGTCCGACTGTCCGTCTGTCTATCTACGCAAACTAGTCCCTCAGTCTTATATATATTTGCTTGAAACTTTCCCAAAAGTTGTCATTCTATTACAGGTAGTATATAAGTTGAAACGAGCAAAATTAGGCGACAATCGGGAAAAACAAATTTTAAAAAGTGTAACTTTGCCATCATTTCTATGGCAGCTATATTTTACAAAGCTAAAAGCGTAATTGTGATGTAGTAAATTAGTAATTATTTATTTATATCAAAGGAATATTTTGATAACTAGAAAAACAGCAAAATATATATTTTTTTTAAATTTTTGAGTCCGATTTTAATTTAATTAAAATCGTAATTCCGTAGTATGTAAATATTACCTAATAAAAAAATAAAAACAACGAAGTTGTACCTTTTAAAATTTTTTTTTCCGATTGTTCCTATGGGAGCTATATGATATAGTTTCAAGGAATGAAGAATCACAATAACCAATAAAAAACTTAAGTTTAATGATAAATTAATTTAATACCATTGTAGTTGAAACTAAAATGCATTACTGATTTTATTTGTTAAGTCATTTGGCTTGAGTACAAAAATATTGAGAAATTGAGCCAGAAAGTCCAAAAGAGATTTTAGGAAGAGGGGACTCAAAGGAAAACAGTAGCACAAGGAATGGAATCATTCATATTGAAATACATAAGATGCTGACTTCTCTATTCCTCTTCCCATTCCCAAAACTCCGACTTTGGATTGTTACAAAGTCAAATGCAACTATTATTGGCATGCTGCTTGGTGAAATTCGTTGAACGGATAGGGAAACTCCGTATAACCATTGTTAATGTACGAAATATTTCATGATTTTCATTTCATTTTTGTGGGCTCAACCCCAAGTTCTCTGCCCTTTCCAAGTTCGTTTTTCTTACTTATTTCTTTCTTTCTGTAGTTTTTGCTGAATCCCACATTCCTTTATTCAATCCGTGCTATTCAACCCAATTTTCATTCTTTTTTTTTTCGTATTCGGCTAAGTTCAGTTCGGTTCTGTTTGCTGCCCTCTACAAACACACAGTTTCCAACAAACACAAGTTTCCAAGCCACGTTAAAGTGACGCAATTTGGTTTGGTTGTATTGTTATGTGTTTCATAACAAAAGAGGGAGTCATGGTGGTAAATGAAGGCAACGCATTCGATTGGTTTACTCAATGCGTTGCCAAATATTGGGTTAGTTTGATGTTTAGAGGAATTTAGCAAGAAAAAAATCTGTTTTTCTATTTTTCAAAACAATCCCTTGAGATATGGTAATTTTTTACCATATCAGAATTCCGCTTTTAGTTTTGTCAAAATCGGACAACAATATCATATAGCTGCCATAGAAACGAAATGCAGCGCAAAATCGACATTGTTTCATTGTTTTTAGTAATATAGGCATATAAATTGAAATGTAGTCGTTTTGTAATACCTGCAAGGGAATATAAACTTCGGCTTGCCGAAGTTTGGTTCCTTTCTTGTTATATATACCTTATGTACTGGCATAAACATTTGTAAAGAATACAAATATATATAGCCGACGCGAAAAAAGAAATGCGAGTAATGAGAGCTGTCCGTTTGTGGTAATTAATTTTAATGTTGAGCAGGCGACGCTGCCAATTTCAAGAAAACCAGAGAACGATGTCAATGGACATTTGGCGTCATATTTGTATTCGGCATCAATGGACAACTAGCCACAAAACCAAATAAAAAACCCTATTGTTGGTTTTGAGTAAAAACCAACCAGCTTACGACCCGCAGCCAGAAATTGAAATTAGAAATGGCAACCATCCAATTTCTGTCGGAAAGTCAGCCACGGAAAACTCTTTCTGGACATTGTCCTGGATTTCGAAAGGCCGGTGTGTTGGGTCATTAGTAATTGTACCTGTAGGCCTGTAACCCAAAACACCTGCAACTTCTCCTGGTTTCTGTTCCTATTTAAGCTGATGTCCATCAATAATTTATGTCAAATTTAATTACCTCAAAAAAGGAAAGTTTCAGTATGATTTTGTATCGCCCTCCTTTTTTCCATTTTTCCCTTTTGGCTGGCTTTTGCGCCAATTCATTCCGTCAAGATTTAATCTTTGAATCAATTTGTCGATGAGGGTGTTTTTAAGGTCCCAGTTCCTGTGAAAAGGGTTCCTTGTTAAGTGTGTCGTGAATCCTTTTATTGTTGTGAATGGAACCAGGGTGCCAACCTCGTTCCCATTTTTACATTCTTGGGGTCTTTGTGCAGGCTTTCGCTGTCCTTAGTCTGCTCCTCGAGTGGATTTATTGTTACGTGAAGTAAATATATTTCTTGTTATTCTGTATAGTTTTTCTGCCTTCCATTAGTAAGTATCTTTTTATTTTGCCTGTTCATTTTTCGTAGGAAATCTCATTACGGCTCCTACGTTTGCAATTTGACTTTGGTCCCAAGGATTCGTGCTTGCGTGTGTCGTTATCCTCCACTGTTTGCCACTATTTGTCCGTATGTCTCTACTGGCCAATATTTGTTTGTCTGTCATTGCTTGCGTGTTGCCTTGTTGTGTGCCGGCGTGTTAATGGCCTAGGCGTAGTTGACAAGTTTCTGCGGTGAGTGTTTTTCAAGAGTACTTCAAGAAGTTGGAGAGTCGAGGCTGGAGCTTCTTCATTGACAGAGATTATTAATGGCGTCGGTGAGTGGTCGAGTGGTTGGGGTTTTTAGGCGGGTTGGTCTTTATTATATATGGGATGTTTGGGAATTTAATGGATATTCGGGAGTTGTGAATTATATTTAAAATAGGTGGTAAGAAGCGGAGAGATAAGTAAATGTTAAATAAATTTAAATTAGAATGTACGATATTCACCCTGAAGAACTCATTCAAAGCAAAAAATAATTTAAATTATCCAAAAATATAGTTATCATTCATCAACCCAGAGTTGTTAATTCTAACTATGACGTTTGATTCGTTTATTAGAACATTAACATTAGGAATAAAACCATCATATTAT